AGCAGCACCCCAGTCTGAGCCCACAGGCTTCCCCTCCTCAGCTGGGCACTCTTGGAAAACCAGTTTCTATTACTTGGTATATTAGCCTCCGTGCATTGAGTGGTATTAGTTATTTGAACACACCAACATATTTTTAAAATACATGATGATTTTACACTTGCAGAAAAAGTGTGAAAATATCCCCCCAAATCCCACGTGCCTCAAGTCTTGGTCCATTTCCTGCAGCTGTAACAGAATACCACACACTAGTGATTCAAAGAAGAGAATTTACTTCTCACAGCTCTGGAGGCTGGGAAGTCCAGGATCAGGAGCGGCCTTGGAGGACGGGGCCTCACACAGCAGAAGAGTGGAAGGGAGGATCCTGCTTAGGGCCTTCAGGAGGCGGGAGCTATGGGGACCTGAATACCCCCACCAGCCCCATTCCAACACTGCTGCCCCGGAGATGAGTTCCAGCACTTGATTCTGGGGGGACACGATCACACCACGGCACCCCACGTCTATCTTCCCTTACTATTAACATCTTACATTACTATGGCACATTTATCACGATTAATGAGCCAGTATTGATATGTAAGTATTAGCTCAAGTCCATATTGAGTCCGAATCACTCTGATTTCTCTAGTGTTTCTTAACATCTTTTCTTTCTCTGCTCTGTGACCCATCCAGGACATGTTATATTCAGTTGTCCTGTCTCCTGTGAGCTCTGCTTGGCATGAACAATTTTTTTTTTCTTGGTACTGGGCATTGAACCCATGGATGCTTTACCACTGAGCCACATCCACAGCCCTTTTAAAATATTCTTTATTTTGAGACAGGGTTTCACTAAGCTGCTGAGGCTGGCTTTGAACTTGTGATCCTCCTGCTTCAGCCTCCCAGGTCGCTGGGATGACAGGTGTAGCCACCATGTCCAGCACTGTTTTGTTTTTATGATCTTGACAGTTTTGAGCAGTGTCAGATATTTTTCAGGAAGCCACACACTAATAAACTTTTAAAGATATCTGTTTTGTTCCTAGATTCCATTATTACATGGGGAAAAAAATCTGACAAAGCAATTCTGGAAGGAAAATAAATGTTGTGAAGATGGTTCAAACTATTAAAATCAAGTCACACCAACTTGAACAACCGGTCTTAGCCTTCGCAGAGATACAACACCAGATGCAACCACCATGATGAGCAGTGGCAACTGTCATTTCCGAACATTAGAACTTTACAATTAAACAGCAATTCCTTCACATTCCAATCTTTGTCACTGTTTAGAAACCTTTGTTTTTTAGTTGTAGACAGACACAATAATTTTTACTGATTGACTGACTGACTGATCGTGTGGTGCTGAGGATGGAACCCAGAACCCAGGGCCTCACACCAACTAGGCAAGCCTCTGCCACCGAGCCCTGCCCCGCCCAGGGAGGGATTTAATAATAGGGCCACACTGTCAAGACAGATAGGGTCATTCAGGAAGTTATTTCACTCACCAATGGCTTCTGGGTGATAGTAACACCATCATAATGGTCTGAATCTATAATTGGCCAATTTTTGAAACTGTAATATTATAAAAATGGTATGACTTTTTGGTAATTAATTTTTACTTAAAAACTTAAGAATTATGGTGAAATGTGACAAAGTTCCCTAACTTGGCATTTTCAGCTTGCTGCGAGGTCTGTGCTGCGAGGTCTGGCCTCACACTGCCTCAGGAAGCACCCATCCGACTAGCTGCTCCCCTTCACGTGCCTTTCCCTACCACTCAGAACCTCCCAGGGCTGAAACTGGCAATGAGAATTCAGAGCGGGCAGGTGAGCAGGAGAGACTTCCCTCAACCTTGTATGTAAGGGGAGATGCCGGCCCAGAGAACCCCCTCCTGCAGAGCCAGCTTCTGTGGACTCACACACACAGCAACAAAAGGATCTGCCCAAGGGCCTTTGCCCTAAATCCCTGCTGGCAGACCTCTGCCAACCTCTCTCCTCCAGGACTGTAAACCTGTGGCTAAGCCCTGAGAGCCACGGCGGACATCTGCCACCTGCAGGTCAAAGGAAAGCGGCATCTTTGGGTTTTCGGAGCGAGCTTTGGTGGAATGAAGGGTTTTAGAAGAGAAACTGGACACAGGGAGGAGACTTCTACCAGCGGGGTATTGCCTTAATTTCCAGCATTTTTAGGGCGATGAGTTTCTAACTACATTCTTTTCTTCATTAGTGTACAGCACTATGGTGTCAGAAAAAATTATGATAGAATGCTGAGCAGTAGGACCTCATGATCAGAAAGGCATGGAATGCTTCTAGCAATGAGAAGGAACATGGACCTCTTTCTGCTCACACTTGCTCATCACAGCAAGAGTTACCTGAATGATGACGTTGGGACAACTGAATAACCACTGGAAAAGTTGAGAGTCTTTAAATAGTCTACTAAATAAATTCCAGATGGCTTAAAAATGTAATTAGAACAACATAAAAATGTAATTAGAAAATATAATTAGAACAAATAATTTCTAAAAAGAAAAAAAATCACTGTTTTCTCCCTCATTAATGGTCAAAGAATGTTTAAGTAAAAGGAAATAGCATTCTCACCCACACTGGTCAAACAGAATCAAAATGATAACATCCAGGTTGACAAGGGTCGGTGAAGCGATATACATGTGTACGCACACACATTGTAGAGCCTTTTGGAGAACAATCTGACAAGAATATTTCAGAGTACCTTAAAGATATCCGTGATACCTGTTGGTCCATTTCTAAGAATTTTTCTAAAGGAAATAATGATGACTAACAGGAAAAATTCAGCTATAAATACACTTATGATGGCCTTGTTCATAATAACTTCCACACTGGGTCTGACCTCAATGTCTGACAGGTCACAGGCTAAGTAAATCACAGCAGTTTACTGTGCTGGAACAAGTGATGCTGGATGATTTTACAGGACTCTGGGGAAAGGATACTGGGGAAAGTACTTGAGAGACTAATGGACAGAAGTAGATTATACACAGCATGCGCGGCAATCCCATTTTTGGACTATAAACTCCATCTCCATATCTAGACACACAGAAGCCCCTTGGGAAACTGTACCCCAAATATTGACAATTATTACATGGGTATGTGGGAAGAAAACAAAGGGACCAAGAAATTTTTTTTAAATGGAGTACAGAGCAGATACACACACACACACACACACACACACACACACACACACAGAGTTGTTGTTGTTGTAGAAGTAGTAGATGGACACAATACCTTTATTCTTATTTATGCATTTTTATGTGAGGCCTGCAAAGCCACGATCATGGAAACCATGGCACTTCCCCCCGGGACCGGGACTCCTGGAGCCCACCACAGCCTTCCTTCTCACTAAACTGCGCCTTCTAGAGGAGAACACGGTATGAACAGGTGAGCCACAAACTGCCCTCTGCTCGATGGCTTGGCCTTCCAGGGGGACCTAGGGTGACTGGCCCTGTCTCACTCTTTGCAGTTCGGCCATTTAAGCAATCGTTTAGAAAGAAAAATGGCACAAGACAGGTCTGTCTTGGGCCTTTGGCCGTCTGAGAACGGGGAGCTCCTTCACTGAGGCTGGGGGACTTACCGCCTCACTGCACCGCTCCCCCCAGTTCTTTTCCGTGTTCCCATTTCATGACCTGCTTGTCATCTGATACTTGATATCGTTTTGAGACTGTACTGCTTTTCAGAAACTCTGTTCCACATGACCTAACCCATTTAAACACACTCTTCACCTGCTCTAGCTTTTTGTTATTCTGGTGAGTTTCCGTTACCTGTGGGAATCTCTTTGGTTTGTGCTACTTCCTGAATGTTTTCATCCTCCCCAAACACCTGGTATTGGAAACTGAGTCCCCAGTGTGACCAGCTGGGAGGCGGAGCCTCTGGGAGTGCACAGGATGACACTGTGGCCCTACAGAGAGGGCTAGGGAGTGGCTCTCACCCTCCCGCCTCTCCAGCCTTCACGTCCCGAGGACACAGCGCTGGCACCTTGACCTGGACCCCTGGCCCCCAGAACCGTGTGGGTTACCAGGCAGCCTGTGGCACTGCCGCAGCAGCACAGAAGACACCGCAGTCGGTTTAGCATTTTTCTTATACTGTGGTCATTTGATGTCGAATGGCTTTGGCTTCTCATTGTTCCCCATGTTCAAGGCACCTGCAGGGAATCTTTGTGAATCTAATTAGAGGAGGGGACTCCTCTGAGGAGAGGGGTATGGGTCTGTGCCAATTCTGTTTTATGACTCTGGGGCTCGCTCCTATTCTTGAGGAGGAACTGCTTACCAGACTGTCCAGCTGCTTCCTAGAGGCCAGTGGACCTTGTCTTCAAGGTTACATTGTTTTGGGGGGTGGGGATGATAGTGGGGATTGAACTTAGGGATGCCCTACCAGGGACCTACACCCCAGTTCTCTTGGACTTTTTAATTTTGGGACAGGGCGTTGCTAAGTTGCTGAGGCTGACCTCAAACTTGCCATTCTCCTGCCTCAGCCTCCCGAGTTGCTGGGATTATGGCCGTGGGCCACCACACCCGGCTCACGCTCACACTAGTTCTCATTGCTCTTCTGCCCCTGTGTTACTCCACTTGGCTCCCACCAGCAAGGTGGCTGGGACTGCTGGCAACGGCGACACACCATGGGTGACACTACCCTGCACATTTGCTGGGGATGCGAAGGACACAAGGACGTGAGTGACCTTCAGCCAGCCCACGCCATGGCTGTGCTTACACTGAGCACCCTGAAGTATGTGGTAACAGCTCCCGCTGGACAAGGGTGCAGAAAGGGTTCTGCTATGACTGTGCCAAGCTCAGCACTCATGAAAGCCAACGCAAAGCTCTAGACACCACTTCTGCTTTGACTAGCCGAGTCCTCTGCCGCTGATCCCAGTGTCTTGTGTTCTCTGGCACTCCATGAAACAGGAGCTGGGTTATCTGCCGGCTACCCAGTAGGGTAAAATCTCAGCCCCTGCATAGCATGAGGGTCCTCAATTATTTTCTTCTTGGTAATACCTAGCATTTCAGGCACTATAACTTGATTATTAACAAATTTATTATTTGCATGGTATATTACAAAAGATCATTTTCCAAAGACTTATCCAATAACGCTATAAAAACAAAAGCCCCCCTACTTCCTGTGAGTTCATCTGTGGGGCATGTCCAAGTCCAGTGATAATTTCACTGTCTGTCTTAAGTACCAACAATACCAAATCCAGAGCTCGGCGCCATGCCTCCATCTTTGGTGTGACAATGTCATAAACTCTTGGAACCTGCTCCAGTTTATCTGAAAAATCTGCATTAAAAATTCCACTATTTAGTTTACTATATTCATTTAAAATGTAAGCCAACGGTGAGCCAGAGGCTGTAGCATTTTGTACATGATGCTCGATGAACGTGCGGGCTGCAAGCTCTGATGGGCAAGTGGCTGAGTTACACATGAGTGCCGAGAGGTATCTGTGCCACCCGCCTGCCAGGCATTTAAGCACAGCTGGCCTGTATGCTGGCAGGGAGGAGGCCAGCCAGCAGGAAGTGTTAGGAAGCCACCCCAGACTGGGGTGGTCGCCTTTGTTCAGAGACTGCTCAGCAAGAATTTGAAGATGACTCAGACACAAAAATTCAACTGCTCCACCTCCAAGGAAGACCTTTTCCTCTTCTAGAGCATAATGCAAACGATATGCACAGGTCCAGAACCTGTCTTCTTTGGCTTGCATCTGTGCAGGGACTGAGTGAGTGAGCACCGCTGTGATCAGATTAATTCCTTCTGTTTTTAACAAGATTGGCATTCCGCTGCTCCTGCCTACAACCTCCAAGGGAGTTCTCCAGAAGGTCACGGAGACGCCACTGCCCACACAGTCTGCATTCACTTGGGAAACGTAGGTCACTGGCACTGCTCCCACAGCCTCAGCGAAAGCCTGCATCACGCTGCTGCCCACAGATCCCACCACCAGCCGCTTACTGTGCCTGCACTTTTCAGTCAAGGATTCAGATACATTTCCCTGCACCAGGATGAGGTTCACGTTGAACTGGGTCAACACCTGTAATACATAATTCGTCCACAGTTCTTCTGAGCTGTCTCCTTGAAGTTCCATGCTATCTAGTACTGTTTTAGTATTGGTGGACTCATTAAATCCCAGGTGGTGGTAACTCTCTACAAGGTCACCCTCAATGAGAACTACCCGGAGAGGCTGATTCTCTAATCCCTTGATCAGGGTTACACTAGCTATTGGTACAACAGTGACATACCCTGAACAAACACAAGACAAATTTTCGGGCAAGCCTGGGAGACAGCAAGTGAAGACTCTAGAAACATCAAACATAAATGGCACTGTACAGTTGCCTTGTTGCACACATGCCTTCTGATACTGCAGTTGTACTGCTGCTTCTACCAACTTCATGGTGCCAAGATCTCCATGGCTCAAACCCACTGCCAACTCTACCAAATCACAACATCTGTAAGTTTTGGGAGTCGCTGCGCTGTACTGTTCTAGAAACCCATCTGGTTTGCTTATCCAGAGACTGTTATCGGTCCTGTTAAAATGCCTACTGTGGATCAGTACTGACTTTCTAGAGCAGGTGTCTGTGTGCAGACTGCTCTTCAGACCTTGTGATGCCTCTTTACCTGCTTCGACCTTTACTGGAAGGTTGAAGAATTCTGGCAGTTTAACAGGTCTCCCAGAAAGACTGTAAACGGTCAATAGTTGAGAGGCAGCATGTTTGAAATCATGCTCTTTGGGTATCCCACCAGCACCTGAAGGGGCTTGTAGGAAAGGACAGGAACCAACATGAGGTGTTTCAAGTCCAGAAATGGTCCTTGAGTTGTGCACATAGTCAAATACGTTGTGGACTGGGACTTGAAGGAAAGCTACCTCTTCCCTGCAAGAGTCCAAGCCTTCTGACATCACTGCAGCGATTATGGAAACAGGAACACCCAGATGGAGGCACTCTTCAGCAGCCCTGCTCCACGCACCGACGAGAAACAAGAGAGTGCTGGTGCCAGTCCTATAGGTGTTGTTTTGTGCTTGAACTGCCTCATGGAGAAGCTGCCCCACTGTGCTGGTCAAATCCAAACTTTCAAGGAGTCTTACTGTTGAGCTGATCAACACACTTTCATGACAGTCCCCACCTGTAACAAATTTGGATGATTTCACTGGGCCCAGGAACGTTCTTCCTGTTTCTGCAAATGAGGACAGTTGTTGAAGTCCCACATGTCGTCTTTTGTTTATTACCCTGCAGGCCATCACAAGTCATCATCTGCAAATAAAATAAAAACTTGGAAACTTATTCAGTGTGATTCATCATTATGAATGCATACAGAGAAGAAAAATAAGATATGGTCCCTGCCTTTGAAGTACACATGGTTTCCATTAAATGTGGTCAGTGCAATGTGCAGTAAAATACTAATGACAAAGGTACAAAGACATGGCGGTGGCCACACCATTCAAGACGCAACACACGCTGTGTGCAGAAGGCAGCAATCCCCAGAGCGAGCCCTGAAGGACTACCTGAGCGGGTCAGCTAGGTGGAGGAGGAAGGAGGTGGGAGGTGGCAGTAAAGTACACACGCAGACCAACCTGTGGTGCTGGGGTAAGATTGGTTATCGTGAGCCATGGTGCTGTGGGCGCATACCGAGTACAGGGGGACCTCAGGAAACCAGCCTCCTGCAGAGGACAGAACCTGGATCAAGATGGGCATAATATACTATGCCGAGAAGCCTAGCCTTGCTCCTGCAGTGGAGGCCACTGAAGAGAGCTCCCCAGCTCACTGTGGCTCAGCAGTAGAGGTTGATAATAAGCATGAACCCCTGGGTTTAATCCCCAGTATCCCAACAGAAAGAGAAACAACTAGACATAGTGTTTGAAAGTTTGTACTACTACTTATTTTACTTTCCCGAGTCAGGGTCTGGCTAAGTTGCCCAGGCTGGCCTTAAACTTGTGATCCTGCTTCAGTCTCCGAGTCCCTGGGATTACAGGTGTGTACCACTGGCCGTCTCCTGAAAGCTTGTATATGTGTGTCTAGATCTCTGGGCTTGAACTCAGCTCACTGCTTACTAGCTGGGTGGCCTTCAGCAACTTAAACATTTAACTACTCTGGCCCTCAGTGTGCATATCTGAAAATGGAGCTAATCACAGCATCCACTTTGTGGGGTCATTAAGACAGTACAATGCTCCAGAGGTCTAGAGTCCTGTTCAAGGAGCCTTGACGGGGATGTTCCGGACATGTTAGCACTGTGGTAACAGATTCAGAGGACTGACTGGCTGCATGTAGAGAGGAGGTGGAGAGGCCAATTAAGAATTTTCTGTAATTACCTTGGTGAGAAATGTGGAAGAGAGATGGAGGGAGGAAATAGATTTGATCAAGGATTACATTATAAAGGAAAATAAGTGCTATTTAAATGGAGGCTCAAGAGCAAGCTCAGGAGGCTGAGGCAGGAGGACTGCAAGTTCAAAGCTAGCCTCAGCAATTTAATTAGGTTCTAAGCAACATAGCAAGACCATCTCTATTTAAAATATTAAAAAGAGCTGGGGATGTGGCTCAGTGATTAGGTGTCCCTGGGTTTAATCCACAGCATGCATGCAAGCGCGCACGCGCACACACACACACAAAAGCAAGCAACTAACTCCACATAATACTTTGGAATCTGCACCCAAAATTATAGGAAGTTACAAGGGAAGGACTTTAGTCCTATAAATAGAACTCCCTTCGGCTGTGGCTCTCAACACCCCCTAACTGAAAAGCCATCTATAAAACTGATGCCTTGGGAGGCATGATCCCTGGCGACTCAGCAGGGAAGCCGAGATCAGAGAAAATACAAACTTGCCCTTTGCTCTAAGAATCCATGATTTTTTTGAATAATACTTCTTAATCACAATCTTTTAAATCTCAAACACTGAAAAGCAAACAACTCAGACTTTTGCTTTTCCTCCCACGCTGTCTCTGCACCCCACCTGGCCCCCGCACTGCACCACCCCTGGAGAGTGCCCTGAGAGGGGCTCCAGGGCAGCAGGCGCTGAGCCCAGAAGCAGCTGGCGGCGTCCCAGGACTCGGAGGGAAGCTGGAACAGCTTGACAGACTCTCTGCGTTCAGTTTCAAGGCCTCTTTTGTGAATTTTCAATTCTATATAACAAAAATTTATGATATGGTCAGCAATATTCCTAGATAGCACCATAATACGTCAGAACAGCCCCAGGTTGAGGTTGATGGCTCCAACCTCAACCCTCCCGAGACTGTCATGTTCTCCGACCCACAGTGTGGTGAGGTTCTGCCGCACCACATCCGCCTTTTACCTCCTACTCCGTAACATCAACTCTCTACTTGCCTGTTTTGAATTCGACTTGTCAACTATTACAGTTGCTCCCTTGTACAAATATCCTTAAATTCAGCTCATCTGGATGAAGTCCAGCCCCAGCCACTCCGTGCTTGCCCCAGTGCAGATGAAACACACACACAACCACGCTCACTGGTGTCATTTGAGGTTCATGGCCCCAAACCTCAAGTGGCCTTAAAACCGCCTCACAATATATTTCCCTAGTCCATTTATCTTTTCTTCTTTTAATAATTATTACTTTCTCTTATCTATCTAAGAAAGGTTTTTTTCCTAACTCTCAGAAGAAAACTTATTTTTCTGTATTTCTTCTGAAAGCTTTATTGTTTTAAATTGATCTAAAATTCATTTAACATAAACTGAACCATTTTAAAGTGTACCACTGGCATTTACAGTGGCCTTCAGTACGTTTGCAATGCTGTATAACTATTAGTTTCATCATCCCTAAAGAAGCCCTAGGGCTATGAAGCAGTCTCTGCCCCATTCCCTCCCAGACCTGGCAGTCACCACCCTGCTTTCAGTCTTTCAGCACTATCATTCTTGATACCTTACATAAACGGCATCATAAAACACCGATTCTCACTTGGCCTGTTTCTGAGGCTCATCCACACTGTAGTATGGACCAGGGCTTCATTCCTCTTTCATGGCTGAGCGACCTGCCTTCGGACAATCACACTTAGCATATCCTCTTTTCCATGGATGCACATTTGAGTTCCTTCCATCTGCTGGCCATTGTGAATTATGCTGCTATGGACTTCCATGTACAGTGTGGACCTGAACAGCTGTTTCCAATTCTTTACCCTAGGAGGGAACCTGGAGGTACTTTCTTTAAGGAACCACCACAGTGTTTTCCACAGCAGAACACTCACACCAGCCACGCACAAGGTATTGGTTTCCTGGGCTGCCCTACCAGATATCACAGAGCACCAGAGGCTCAAAACTACACACCCATGCTCTTACGGTTCTGGAGATAGAATCCAAAATCCAGGCACTGGCAGGGCAGTGAGTCTCTCACCCCCCAGGGAAGATTCTTTCCTTGACTCTTCCAGCTTCTAGTTACTCCTGGTAACTTAATCTCTGTTTCAAATGGCCTTTCTACAATCATGAACCAGTTGGTGGGCCTAGGGCCCAGCCTAATCCAGTATAACCTCAGCTTCAGTGATCTCCCTCATTTCAAAAAACACCACATTCTGAAATTCTGGAAGGACATGAAGTGTGTGTGTGTGTACTGTTCAATCAACAGGACACTCAACAATACTTTTTTTTTTTTTTTTTTTTGTAAAATTAAAGACATCCCACTGATGTGGAGTGATCTCACTGTGCTTCTGACCTGCACTTTCCTAATGATGATGGGCATCTTTTCATGTGCTTGTTGGCATTTGTACTGAGGACTGAACACAGGGGCACTCTACCATGGAGCATTTCTCCCAGTTCTTTTTAGTCTTTACCTTGAGACAGGATCTCATTAAGTTGCCCACGCTGGCCTTGAACTTGCCATCCTCCAGCCTCAGCCTCCTGAGAGCAGTGGAATTTCCAGGAGCGCAGCACTGCATCCAGCTTCCACTTGTAAATCTTAATGGAGAAATGTTTTTTCAAGTATTTCACCCATTTAAGAAGCGCTGCTGATTTTCTTGTGTTGAGCTGTAAGTGCACGCTGGGTACTAGACCCTTATCAAACAACAGCAAGAGCCAATCAGGGTCCTGCACGCAGGGATCCAACTGTGGACACAAAAACCTGGGGAAAAAACCTGCACCTGCAGCTGACAAGTTCTTGTCACTTTCCTTCAAAATGCCTCATAACAACTGTTCATGTGGCATTTACATTTTATTAGGAAGTAATAAGTAATCCCAGAGGAGAGTTAAAGTATATGGGAAGATGTAAAAGTAACTGGCAAACCTGTGGACTTGGGTATTCACAGGGGAGTCCTGGAACCAGTCAACCAAGGACGTGAAAGACCACTGTATACAATTTGCAAACACACTCCCGTTTGCGGAAAACAAATGCAGTGATTTCTACATTGTTGAGGACATGCACAAGTTTTTAGTTTTGATGCAGTCCACTTTTTTTGTTTCTGTTGCTCATGTTCTTGGTGCCATATCATTCCACTGCCACATCCAAGATCATTCATATTTAACCAAACATCATCTTTAAATTATAAATTCATCCCTTAACAGTGTTGATCAATTTGGGGTTAACTTTTGTATATGGTATAAGCAGAGGTCCAATTTCATTTTTTGTGTGGTACTGGGGATTGAGCTCAGGGGCACTTGACCACTGAGCCACCTCCCCAGCCCTAGTCTGTATTTTATTTAGAGACAGGGTCTCACTGAGTTGCTCAGTGCCTTGCTTTTGCTGAAGGTGCCTTTGAATTCGTGATCCCCCTGCCTCTGCCTCTGCCTCCCAAGCTGCCAGGATTACAAGCGTGCACCACCAAGCCCAGCCCAACTTCATGTTTTGCATGTAGATATCCAACTGTTCAGCACCATTGGTTGAAGAGAGTCTTCTCTCAACTGAGTGGCCTTTGCATTTTTGTCAAATACCAACTGGCCGTAGGTACATGGGTTTATTTTTGGTTTCTCAATCAATTCCACTGCCCCTGTGTTCACTTGGTGCCAGCACCATACTGTTGTGACAACACAGCTTTGCAGTACATTTTGATGTCAGGAACCCGGGCTGCAAACTTTTTCTTTACATTTATGTTTATAATTCATCTTAAACTGATTTTTGTAAATTACTGGAAACATTGGCTCCTTTTTCCTCATGAATATCCAGGTGCTTCAAAATAATCTGTTGAAAGGAATAGCTTAAAAAGACTGTTTTTGTTTGTTTTGCTTTTCATTTCTAACACATGTTGAGAGTTCACCGGGTGTGAGGCACTTACCAGGCCTATGTCACGTGGCCCTCACAGCAGCAGTGTGAGGTGGTACTGCCATGAGCCTCCTGGTGATGCGGAAAGGAGGCGTGATAATCAACACACACGACCTCGTGACTAGTAAGTAAAGGGCTATGGACTAGAACCCAGGTTTGTTCAAGCTACCAACTGCCTCACGATGCTGCCCTCGGGCTGCATTCTCTACCCACGGTCTCCATTCCTCAGGCCTCTGCCTTCTTCCAAGGCTGGTTAACACTCTTATCAGGCATAGGCCCATGTCTTTTTAAGATGTCTGCTTACGGTCTCCTTTCTGTACTGTCTGAACCACAAGGATATTAATGCACAAATGGAAAAATTCATGAGCTATTCCAAACTTAGTTGGTATGGAATTTATATGAAAAAAACCTTCCCAAAGAAGGCATACAATTAAAAAAACTAGTCTACATGCAAAATATCACATACAACTGCTATGAAAATAAATATTTACAAAAGACCTGTTTCAGCATCTTGAAGAACCTACTCCAACTTTGAGTAGTAATCTAAAAACAAAAACAAAAACAAATCAGTCTAAGGTTTCTAACTTTGGATGACCTTCTTAATTATTACTTTAAAGAAGCTGCAAGGGCCTACCATAAACACAAAAAAAGAGACTGAAAACAAGAATTCCTCACCTTCTAAGAGGCTGGGCCTACAAAGGCAAAGACAGTGAAGGTGATGGGGGACAGGACCTCTGGCACCTTCCTTCCTCCTCCCTGAGTGACAGACCAGCAGAGTCGCCTCTGTTTATCCAGGATTTTGAAATCAGAAGGCATTTTCTTTTCACAAGGTCATGTCTAGTTTTGTCCGAAGTACTCAGCTCAACACTAAGACGCGTTTCTCAGGAGCGGCCTGGGGACAATCAGCCTTTCATCATAAAAATCAACAGTTTCCTCATCTCCAGTCTATTCCCAACACAGAGTCTAATCCTATCAACCCACTGTTTAAAAGCCTCTCAGAAAGTCGTGGACCTTTGTCTGACATAGGACTCCCTTCACTGATGGTGGGAATCTTGCAAAGCCTCCGCAGCTCACTGATACGAGAGTCCCAGTGCTCACAAGCCCCAGGAACATGCACTTCTTCCCTTTCCCTTCTGACTCCACCTCACTCTGCTCTGGCCTCCATCCTGTTCCTGGAACATGCAAAGCCTGCTCTCCACCTTAGGGTTTCTATTCTAGTTGTTCTCCCTTTCTGGAATACTCCTTCTCCAAGAACTCTACTGTTTCACCACCTTTAAATATTTTCTCAAATTTCCTTTTCAGTACAGCCCACCCTGAGCACCCTATTAATAACACAAACTCTTCTCCCTCTACACCCTGGATACTCTTAGTAGCATACAGTTTACTTATCATTTATGAACCCTGTTAGAATATAATTTCCAGGAGTGCAATTTAGTCATGGAAGTATCTCAAGTACCTACAGCATTGTTGTATACTTTACTGCAGGCACTCAAAAATTATTTGGTAAATGATTTTCACATTTGTTATCCCAAATTTGAGTACACACCTGAAACAAGAGAAAACAGATATCACTGTTTAGTATTCCTCCAACATGAATATAACTTTCAACTACCTTTGGAGTTGACTGATTCCTATTTGGCACTGCCTTAGTTGGAACCCTTTAATTTCTTTTAAAGAGGCTTCAGAATCATTCTGAAAAACTAAAAATAGAATTGGGTAAATTGGGTATTCCACTGCCAATAACTATTTATCTTGGAAAATAAAGTCTTCTTAACATTGTGCTGTAAAGTCTACACTCAGACTTTTTAAGACCCATCTCCCACCCTTCCTTGAAAGCCACATGATTGTGCTATACCACGTACCTTACTTTGTACATACTACACTTTGATTTCAACAGCCTATCCTCTTTATACCTCCTTGAATGCTCTATGGCTCTATGACCCAAGGCAAATGCCACATTTTGGATACAGCTTTCTCCAGTGCTGGAGGAGGAGTCCCTCCTTTCTGTGCTCCCAAGCACAGCCCCTGTGTTTATGTCTTGTCTATCTCAACCACTAATCTGGGGACCCTTGGTTTTATTCATCTTTTACACTCTACATGCAATTCCTTTCAAACTCAGTAGCTGACAGGCTGACATGTAAAGCAATAAATCTGGTAGATATATAAGATATAATAAATCTGGTAGATATAAGAAATCTAGTTATCACTAGGAATGTCTATAGTGCAACCGGATTAGTGGCAGCCCTTTTTCAAGACTGAGTACATTCTAATCAAGACCTAGAACTGCAATCTGAGCCCTACCATTTAAAAAAAGAAAACAAAACATCTTAACTCCACGTTCCCAAACAGAAGCGTAAATCGCAGAGTGATGCAAAAACAGGCCACCCACTGTTCAACCTTCTCGTTACCGTCAGATCAGACCCGATGCAGCCGAGCCTGAAGCCGGGGTCAGGCTGAGGCCCGCTGGACCACGTTCCTTCCTGGTCTCAGAAGCCCCGCTAACGCAGTGCTCCAAGAAGCACTCGGCTCCAGCTGGGCGACCTGCGGTGGCTAAACCGCACCCTCGCCCCGGCCTCAGCTGGTTCTCCGCCGGGGCCGCAGAGGCCCTGCTGGGCGCGGGCCACCGTCGTCCTCTCACCGGCCCTCGCGGCCAGCGGCCTCGGAAGGCGCAGGTTCTCCCCGCGCCCGACCTGAAGAGCCCCACAGACCTGGGATTCACGCCGGCAGCCAAAGCCGGAAACGCCCCCGCCCCGTCCGCGCTCGGGAATTTCCGTTTCACGGCGGAGAAGGCGGGGCACGCCACGTTATTGGTGGAGAATCGGGAGGGGGGGCTTGAGGACTCCCTTTCCGACCATTGGATGGAGTGTCCGTCCATCAGTACGCAGCCCGGTGGGCGGGGTTCGCGGGGCGAAGGCGGCCCTAGCAACGCGGGTGGAGCGGGCGGGGCGGAGAGCGGGGCGACATGGTGAGTGGGTCCCGGGAAGGAGGGGAGCTTGGGCCTGTGAGGTGGAGCCTCTGCTTCCCTCGGGGCTCCGCAGGAGTCGCCGAGGCGTCCTTCCTGTGGCTCGCTCTGGGCGGCCCGCAATCCCTCCCTTCGGCCGCCGCGCCGCCGCCGCTGGAGGCGAGGGCGTGAGCTGCCCCGGGAGCCGTGAGGCCGAGGCTTCGGGCCCAGGGCTCCTGGGTTCAGAGCTGGAGGCTAGGGCCCCGGCGCGGCCGCCGGCCGAGGCTAGCCCGACGCCCCGCTTGCCGGCAGAAAACCGCACCTCGCCGGAAGAGGACGCCGCCCAGGCGGCGCGGACACTGCCAGTTGGCGCACCGTCGCCGTCCGGCCTCTGCAGTAGTATTTCGCCTGGGCCGCGTGGCCGTTCGCCCCTCCGCCGCTGTACACGGCAGCACGGGGAGGAGACGGGAGCGGCTCTGGTTCCGTGGGGCGGCCCCCCACCCCGTGCTAGGAAACGGGCCTACGTGAAGGTCACTCCTCCTGGGCGAGTGCCCCTCGGATACCCCGCGGGGGGACAGTCGTACCACCGCCACTGCCCGTTCCACCATCTCTCCTTTGCTCCTTCCCCTCTCAAAAGGCACTAATTTTAAGGAAAAAAAAATCTAAGTGATAAAAAAGAACCAGGCTTTCCACCAAGTTCTTAATAACCCAAAGCACAAATTTAGTGAGGGGCAACTTTATAATAGCAGGAAGTAGGGTCCTTCAATAAGTTCATTTATCAGATTCAACTATGCGTCCATTATTCTAGGCATGTAGTTTGTCTTTCACCCACGTGTGTATTTATTGCAGGCGTCTGACCAACACACAAGTTCAGAGAAAAGAGCAGTGAAAACTGAATTGAATGAAATGCAAAAGCAAGAAATTAAAGAGGCCTTTGACTTATTTGATGCTGATGGCTCTGGGACCATAGATGTGAAAGAACTGAAGGTCCTGAAATAATTTCCAATTCCAACACATTTCAAATTCCATGTTTGTGGGATCAGACTTTAACGGTAGTCTTCGGGAAGCTTGAGAGTGTTAACAAACAATATCTTGTTAACATTTAAATCATGTTCTATACGTGAGCAAGCCAAGCCCAGGGTGTACAGTACACTCTAGCACAGCTGGGTTGAAACCTGGGACTGCTGACCTCATTTCTAGGTTAATGCTCAGTCCCTGTTAAAAAAGAGAAGCCTGAGCTGGAGTTGTGGCTCAGTGGTAGAGGGCTTGTCTAGCCTGTGAGAGGCACTGGGTTTGACACTCAGCACAGCATACATTTATTAAATGAATAAAGGTCCATCAACATCTAAAAAAAATTTTAAAAAGAGAAGCTATTGATTAATGAATATTTAATCAGAATGATATCTTGGCATATTAAAATTTTTTTCTTCCTATTCTAGATTGCATTGCGGGCCTTAGGATTTGAACCAAAGAAAGAAGAACTTAAACAAATGATAGCTGAAATGGACAAAGAAGGAATTGGCACCATTAGTTTTGAAAAATTTTTTGCCATTATAAGTGTAAAAATGGTATAGTCATGATATTGTTTTTTTCAGAGAAACACAAGCAGTAGCTTTCCAAATTTGAGGGAGGGCTGAAACAGGTTTCATAGAAGAATTTGGGTCTAGAAGTTTCAGATTGGGTGGGACACAGATAAACAGAAATTGCAAGATTAAAACATTCTCAGATTGGTAATGGAGACTGTTGTGGAGAATGGGGTTTGTCGGGAAATAATGAGGACATATGTCAAGATGGACAGAATGGAGCTAGAATTTAAAAACTTGCACTTGGCAAGCATGTTGAGGGCCTGTATTTGCAGGCCTTGTTCTGCAGAGCCTTGCAGGAGCTCTGCGGAGCCTATGTCTTTGGAATGGACCTGAGTGATGAGGGCCAGTATAGGGTGCATTTTCCTGCCTCACTGTGTTCTGAACCTCAGTTCCTTGAGGGCAAGTGTGAGGGCATTGGGTGGTTAACAGTGCAGCAGTCAGCTCAGCTCAGCTGCCCAGTACACTGGAGCGCTAGTGCTCAGAGGCCTGAGAAGATCTGTTTTTAGAATATTTATTTATTCTAGCAGTATAATCAAAGACAAGTGCCAGTTATTTCATATTTTTAAAGGGTGAGAAAGATGAAAAAGAAGAAATATTGAAGGCTTTCAAATTATTTGATGATGATGATACTGGGAGGATAACACTAAGTAATATCAGGAGAGCCGCCAAGGAGCTCGGGGAGAATTTAACAGATGATGAACTGCAGGTAAATCTTGCTTGTTTTTATAATTTATGTGTAATTACAACTTTTGTATAAAATGTTATATTCTAACTTTAGTTGTACATTAAAAGTAAAATTTGATTTCGAGCATGTAATTTAACATTCATTTCTGTCATTCATTTTAGTAGATTTTATATATCATTTTTTGTTTTGTTTTATAGGAAATGCTTGATGAAGCTGATTATGATGGGGATGGAGAAATAAATGAGGAAGAATTTTTGAAAATGATGAAGAAGACCGCTTTTTAATACTGTTCTTTTCTGTCCCATTTGTTATATGATTCAATAATGTAAGATCTGAATGGATTCATTTTCAATTTTTAGTTTGTCTACACAGATTGGTCTCTTGGTGTCTGTGTGAAAAGTTGTGTTTCTACCAATATTGTTATATTTGCCATACAAAGAAACAAAACATGAGAGCTTCCTTGAGCCAGGAATGTAAGAGCAGTGTTAATCCCAACTGCTTTTTTTAAGTGGGTTCCACAGACTTAGAATTTTATTGAAGTTTATTGCAGTTGGCCCCACATCCAAATGAATCTGGCAAACAAACCATTATTATTGTGTGACCTCCCAGCTCCAAAACCCTGAGCAAGAAACGTCTGTTCCCCTTTGGGCTGCTTGCTCGCCCTGGGCGGTAGCAAGGCCAGCAGCAGCAGCCCTGTCAGGGCGTCACACCGGCACAGGGCCCCAGGAGTATGTGAGAAGCCCATGCAGGTGTCCTGTGGACACTCGTTTCTCTGCATGCCTACAGGAATGTCTGAAGCCCAAGAAACCTGTCTTGGAGGTGTGCTGCAGTGCTCTGGTACCTGGGGCCCCAAGCTGTGCAGCGCCAGAGGCAGATTGAGAGCACAGAGCCTTCTTGCCAAGGCTGCCTGAGAATGTCTGCCTTCCTGTTTGTAGTGGCACTATCAATCATTATTCGGAAGCAGGTTGTCTTTAAATGCAAGCGAATATTCGATCACACCAATCGAGTGAGGAGCTTGAGATGCTCAGGTGCTGCCCCTCCATCACCATCCGTGAGCGGAGTCGCTGCCTCTGCCTCGTTCTTCCATCTGTGGAGCATGAGACCTCTGCCTCCCACACCAGCACCGTGCAACAGACCTGGAATCGAGCCAGGGCGTTGGGACAGGTCACTTCTGATGGGAATTGGGTCCCCAAGTCAGTGCCCTCTGTTCTGCTGGGCTCTCTCCAAAGCTATCTTCCCCACTGTTAACCTTGTTTTGTCACCTGGTCTAGTCACACTTGTCCTCAGTTACTTCCTGGAGCTTCCAGCGCCTCTCCTGGAGGAAAACCCATCTTCCTCATCTGCACGTGTTCTTGTTTCACACTGTTCCTCCCATCCAGTTTTCATCTCAGATCCTCCCCAGGACCTTTTCTGGGTCACACATAACAATGAAATGAGCGTTTCTTTTCCTTGTCCTGAGGTGTATGAACTCCGGTGACAGTGCAGCCGACCAGAGCTGAAAATCCTCTGCAGTGGAGCTGCTTGTCCATGCGGTGGGCAGTGGCTGCTGGAAGCTGCAGTGTGCACCCGGGAAACATTTCAGGAACCCTCTTGGGGTGAACGTTCTGGGTTTTGCATGATTTGATGCTGGAAGTTTTATTGGTGATACTTTGCTATACTCCTGCAGCCCTTAGAATTGGCTGGTTCAGTCTTAAATGCCTGCATGGTGTCTTTTTAGGATAAAGGATAACCATGTATTTCTAGTGGGGGAAAATTAAACAGTATTTTTCTGTAAGTGGGGGAGAGGGTCAGCTAAAATAGTGGGATGGCCAAAGCTTTTTGGTTCCGGTTTTCAAGCTAACAATGTATTTTCAGATGACTGGGTCACATTTACCTTTCTCTCTGGGAGCTTGCATACATTCTTGTCCTGAAGCATGAAAAGGAGTCCTCAAATGATTGAAAAGAAGAAGGTAAGGGGCTCTGAAGGCTACTAGTTCTTTTATCTTTTATTTGGTAACTTAAATTAACCAGCATTATTTTACTGTGACCAATAGTTTCTTTATGACACTTGTTTCAACATCCAAACTGCTGTTTTAAAACCCTGGCTTTCAACTCCTAGAGAGGCTGTGGTGTGCCCTGTTGTCTCTTCCAACAAGCACACTGTCTGCAAGGCACAGCACGCCCTCTGATGAGCTGTGTACTGGGAACGCAGTTTAGGAGCAGTTCAAGAATCGTGAACATATTTCATGAATATTAGTTCCAAGGCTAAGAGCTGCCAGCCTAATGTATAGGAGCAGAATCTCTGATGGACCAAGGGCTTATAGATTTGGTTCATTCTTTCATGTCACACATCTCTAGTTTGAATATGGCAGTTTTTTCCTGGTCGATGGCCAAGGTTGCAAGTGGCTTTGGACCTGTACCCTACTGCTGCGAGCTCTTCCCACCCACCATGGAAGAGCTAACTGCAGTTGCCTATAACCACCAAAGACAGGGTCTATTTGGGGCAATGTAGTTTTTTCCTAATGTGTTGTTTCTTGGGAGGACATGCCTGTTAAAATCAGCTTCTTCACTGTAATTTCTGAGAAAAGTTCACTCAGAACTCCCTGAATTGAGAGGAGAAGCCTGGAGGGAAGTTTGAGAAAACCTTCCTTGGAGAGGATTGGAAGAGCATGTACATCTCACTGGAGGAACCAAGAAACTAATTTCCTTATGTTAAGTGCACTTTATGTATTTCTAATAAGAGGACTTTCCAGAAAGTGAAATTTTAAAAGGTGAAATATAAATAAATTTCATAATTATATAAAAAAGTCTGTTCCTCATAAATTACCCCATCTGTGTGGCACAGTGGCACATGCCTATCATCCCAGCTATTCAAGAGGCTGAGGCAAGTTCAAGGCTATCTGAGGCAATTTAGGAAAATCCTGCCTCAAAATTAAAACTAACAGGGGCTGGGGTTGGGTGGGGCTGGGGCTCAGTGGCAGAGTGCTGGCCTAGCATGTGTGAGGCACTGGGTTCAATTTTCAGCACTGTATATAAATGAATAAAACAAAGGTCCATCAACAACTAAAAAAAGGGGGGGTGTACTGGGATGTACTGGTAGAGTGCACCTGGGTTTAACCTCCAATATTAAGAATAAATAAATAACCCCGTCTGTTGTATTTTGTTATAGAGCAAAAATAGTCCAAAATAGGCACAGATACCATGAAAACAGGGGTCAAGGGGAGCCATTTTGGAAACTGCTTAGCACATGAACTAAATCTTTGGCTTAGCTTTTACCAGCCAACTGATTAAAAGTTCTAGGGGGTTGGGGTTGTGGCTCAGTGGTAGAATGCCACCTAGCACGTGTGAAGTGCTGGGTATGGTCCTCAGCACCACATTGAAAAAAAAATTAAAAAAATAAAGGTATTGAAAAAAAAATAAAAACCAACTCTTATCTAAACCATACAGGATAAGATAAGAGATAAGATCCTGTATGGTTTATATAAGAGTTGTTTCCCAAAAGCTTATGTGTGAAACAATGCAAGAAAACTTAAGAGGTGCTGGGCATGGTGGCACACACCTGTAATCCCAGCAGCTCAGAAGGCCAAGGCAGGAGGATCACATAGTCAAAGCCAGTGTCACCTACTTAGCAAGACCCAGTCTCAAAAAATGAAAAGGGCTGGGGATGTGGCATAGTGGTTAAGTACCCCTGGGCTCAATATCTGATACCAAAAGGAAAAAAAAAGAAAAAGAAAAAGAAAGAAAGAAAGAGTCCATGAGAAGACTTGGGACTTGGACAAGAAGGAGTCTTTAAATTAGAACTCTTTGAACTTGCCCTTGCCCATGTCTATTTCTATGCATCATTGTTAATAATTGAGGGATAAATTTTTCACATATAAAGCATTAGGTACATTTTTGTTTGGTCTAGAAAGAAATGCAATACAATTAGGACTTAAAGATAACGTGAAAACACTTAAGAATGTTTATGTGCATAAGCAATGAGAGCTTTCATAAAGGAAACATGTTGACAAAAGAGAAACCTTCAGTTTTCATTTCAGTTGATTTAAAAGTGATCCAGGTGGTGTCGCTAATGTTACATTTTCCACAGGCTTAACTTGTTCCAAAGACGAATGCATTGTTTCAGGAACAGTTTGTGCTGGACAAGTGGCATTGCTGGCCTGTTGCAGAAGCAGGAGCCTGAGCCCTTCCGCCCAGGGCATCTGGGTTTCAGGCGCCGTGGAGAGCACAGTGCATCCAGCCCTTCCCCTTCACTCAGTGGGGAAGAAACAGAGCAGCCACAGGAGGTGCCAGTGCCCCTGACTAGCAGGTCTCTCCAGGCAGCCACTGGGTGACTGGCTTGCACACACCCCTCTTATGCTAGAGTGGGAGGGCCTTGTCCCCTGCACACCAGGACCAGATGGAGCAGAGGGGCTGGTCATATGCCAGTTCTGCAAGTGGCTGAACAGAACAAGGAAAATCCCTCCCGTCTGTCCTAGCACAAAGGCGACAGACAGGTGCCCACACAAGGGACCAAACTCAGAGGGAAACCCGGGTGACAGCACATACTCTTTTTGTGCCACCTTTCATGCCACATTGTGACCCAAGTTCTCTGATCCTCTTCTGATCCTGAGGCCAACAAGTAAATTTTTTTTTTAACTTTTTTGTTGAATAAACTCAGATAAATTAAACTTGTCTAAGGGTTTTTCTTTTAACCAGTAATTATGGGATAGAAACTAAAAGTTTATTAAATGTCATGTAATTACAAATCTATGATATTTATTTTTAGGACTGATTCACATCTTAAAGAAATCTATATGATTTAAAATAAAATGGATCTCTTATTTTGTGAAGCATATTATACTTTTTGAGATTTTGCCTTTAAAACAGATAACAAAAAATTGAATAAAAATGAAAATAAACATGTAATGTTTGGCATACAGACATATATAAAAAGCTTAAGGAGGGCTGGAGTTGTGGCTCAGCGGTAGAGTGCTCGTCTAGCATGTGCGAGGCCCTGGGTTTGATCCTCAACACCACATAAAAATAAAATAAAGGTATTGTGTCCATCCACAACTAAAATAAAATATTTTTTAAAAAAGGCTTCAGGAAATAACACATTTGTGCGATGATCTAACCCAAATTATTCCTAAGCTAGAAATCATACTATTTGTTCTTACAAAATTTGAGGGAAAAAGTGGCATTAAATCATAAAGTGCTTGAAAAAAAGTGTTGACAAGGGTTTTGTGGTTTCAAGTCCCTCTTCCTTATTTGGGCCCAGAGAGTGCAGCATTTCTGCCTGGGAGGTGGCCCTGGTAGAAGAGAAACAGAGAGTTCTGTGCCTGGAGGTCGCAGAGAGCAGCAGGTGCAGGTGCAGGAGGAGTCGGGCCTCCTGGAGGTCCA